CACAATAACATTGAATGCATGTTAGTTTTCCTCTGCAGCTTATTGCAGTCCCTGTGGAAAAGCCTTTAAAACAATCTTGCTACAAGTGTGTAGGGTACTGAACCTGGTGATGCTCAAGCAAGCGGTGTAAGAACCATCCTGCAGGCTGGTTTCAAACTTGCGCTTGTTATTCTAAATACTTGTTTAACTCTGAGGAGAGGCGTGAAAACTGAGTCAAAAACACATTACGTGTCCTGGGCTGGAGGCTTTCCGAGTGTGTGTAAGCCAAATGCCTCTGCTTGGTAGCAAAATCTCCCCATTCTCTTTGGAATTGCATCTCTAAACTTGTGTTTCTGTGTTTGGTGTGTTGCTATTGAGTTAAAAACAAACAGGGCAGTTCTCAGCACAGTGTCTGGAAATGAGCCTGGAAGCACCGGTGTACACTCCCGTGCACTTGGATAGCAGCAAGCCAGATACTGATACGAGGCAACAACAAGGCTTGCCGTGAAAGCCCCGTCAATGAATGAACTCATAAAGCTCAGGACTTATGCCACTTCCCGGATATTTATGCCTCTAATTGAGGTTACAAATTAACAGGTTTATGGAATACATCTAATTCACAACTAAACAGAAGAAGGTCATTAGAACTGCCTGCAAATATTTGCTAATGTAGCACAGTTAAGCAGAAAACTGTTCAGCTCATGGATGTTGGTGTAGCTGAATAATGCCAACCCTGTGTAAGTACAGGAAACCTGTCTTCAAACTCCTTTGTTAAGGACACAAATGAAATGAAAGACTAATCTGGTTTGTGAGTTGTCTTACTGTCTTAAAAAGTAATTGGCATGATTGTCTCTGACTTTATTCTAAATCTTATCTCCCAGGTAAAATGTCAATACCTAATTTTTGTGGTTTTAGTTTCAGGGCCTGCCTTAGACTTAGTAATGCTGAGTTTCCTTGGATCTGTTTTAGTAACAAGGAATATTTCACTACAGAATAGGTTTCTTCTCTTGCCTTTCTGTAGGGGTGGGCTAACAGCACAATGGCACTGGCTGTGCAGCAGAGTGAAGCTGGCTAGTCTTGTCTTGTTCCCGTGTGTTAATGTCGAACAAGCTGAGTATTTGTGGGTTTAGGCTGACTGCCACACAGTTCTAGAGTGGAAAAAAGCAAGTCTTATACACATGCATTCTCTGCATTTGAACTTAAACTGCATGAGTGAATGGGTTTGGAAAGTGAAATCTTGAGGCTCAAGTGACATGTCGGATGCTCTTGCAGTCTGCTCTACACAAATACCAACTCCACATTACTTTGCCTCAATGTTCTATTCAGGGAAACTTCTCCAGGTCTGGGCATTATCTTAGTAATTGCTCCAACACCAAAGGTCTCCAACTGACATTGTGCTAAAATCTGAGTTTGTGCCCTAAGGCTGTTGGGCTGAAGCAGTTGGAGCAACAGTGACCGATGAGCTTACTGATTGTCAAAGTAGCTCTAGTCCAGTATGGGACCTGTCAGAGAGAGCTTCAGCCTGGAGTGAGCTTTCAAAGAAGTTCCACAAATCCCTCAATTAGGAGTTTTTTCAGGAAACGGACAATCCTGACTGCACCAGTACCAACATTGCTACTTGAATTGATCTTAACTTGTAAATGGTCTCCTTTTCTTGATGGGTGTTAACATACCACTAAGGCTTTTCCACTTCTCTGCCATGAATTAAGTACCTCTTTTAGAGGAGTTTTTTTAATTGTTGGTCTCAATTCCAGGTGGATAAACTGGACGCATCAGAGTCTTTGAGAAAGGAAGAAGAACAAGCTACGGAAACACAACCTATTGTTTATGGTAATGTTTTCATTCATGTGTTGTCAGCAACATATTTTGCTTTTAAATCAACACTTCTCTAGTCACGGTTTTTCCCAAGGAAGTCCTTGTAGATCAGAACATTCTTCATGTGAAATCAAGTCTTAAGGGAACGTGTTCCAAAATAGTAGATAAATTATCACTCTGATACTGCTGCTGCTAAAACTGGGTATGGACTGCAGGATTTGAGGGTGTCCTAGCTCACACTAGGGAGTTACTGTTAAACATACAACTGTCTCTAGGGAAGTTGCAGGAATTCTGCTGACTGAACTCTCGTACAGAGGAATAAAGATGGAACTGTTCTGTCTTCCAGGTCAGCCACAGCTAATGTTGACAGCAGGACCCAGTGTCGCAGTTCCTCCACAAGCACCTTTTGGCTATGGCTACACCGCACCTCCGTATGGGCAACCGCAGCCTGGCTTTGGGTACAGCATGTAAGATGCAGCACAAGTCATTTTGGAGCTAGCGTATTTTCTTACTGAAACTCCACCGTCCCTCCCCGCTTTAACTCATAACAGGGAAAAGCAAGAGTTCTGCCTCGTGTTCTTGTAACCTTTACTTCATGAAGGACTGTTTTTTCTAGCGCAAACTATTTGAATCACTTGTGTTAAATCTTTTTCACATTCCATGTCATTTAGACTTTACTTTAAAAGGGGAATAGTTTAAACAACCTTGTTCAAGTGGGCTTTTGCAGGACTGCTTATTACCATTAAGTCTATTGTGAAGATTCTGATTTGCACTCTATAGTGTTAAACTCTAATATTGAATCTTAAGTTCATTGTATGTGAGCAGCTTACAGTATGTACTGTCTATTCTAAATGCATTTAAGTCTCACTGTATATTCGGAGAAAGCTAAAGCAAAGATACTTGTATTTGACCTTGCAAGACTGCTGACAAGAGACAACACTAATCAGCATATCCTACCCTGGTTGGACTGCATAGCTCTAAAAGAATTTAAAATGCGTACAGACAACCTTGCCTGACTTAAAATGAGTAAAAGTTTGGGTTTTTTTTTTCCCTTAACCTATGCAGGTTTTTCCAGTTATGCATATAGAAAATGCTAGTGTCTTTTTGCTCACTCCATGTGTAACAGATGACCTTATGTTGTGCTGTATCCTGTGCTTTTGTGGGACATTCCATTCAGGAACAGAGCACCATGATTCCAATCTGTGTATTTACTAACCCTGCCCCGAGGTTTGTGTATGTTGGGTATTGTGGTGTTTTAGATCACTGTTTTGAGTGTACAGAAGAGAGAATTCAAGCATATTGCTGTTCAGTTTTGTTTGTGCAATTTGAAATTACTCAATTTAAAAATAAATTACTGGACTGTGGACATACTGCATAGTGGTAGCTTCACTTTACTGTCTTCAAAAAAAGGACCTTTGAACTCCAGCAGAGTATTACAGTGCTAGTGGTGTGGGGCGTGCACATGTGTACATCCAAGGGTATGAGGGGCCATCAGAAGAGCAGCCACGGAGACTGTTAGTGGTGTCTTGCACTGAGGGGGCGATACAAGGAAATATGTAATGCTTTTTCTATAGAAAGATTATGCCAGAGAGAAGAAAATAGCACTTTTTAATAGTTGGCTGCATTGTGGTCAACTACAGCATATTTGACCAGATGATACATTAGGATTGTAGTAGGGTGTGTCAGTTACATTGAGATCATGTTCTAGGTATGTAAGTTGCCTTAAATATATTTAGCTTCAAATAAAATTGACTTAAATGTTCCTCTATGAATACTGTCATACTTGAGTGTAATGAGTGTCACAGCACTGGCTGTAGTTGTGATAGCTGTAGAAGCTGCTTTCTCCTCACCAGGAGCTGCCCTCAGTGTCAGGTTCCAGCTCTGAGGCTGAACCCCCTTCCTCCTGGGAAGCTGCAGCTGGGGCTGCAGAGTTGCACTGTGTGATGCTGGCAGCTGGGCACTGCTGCAGTTCCCTGTGTAAGGTTGGTGTCTGCAGCTGGGGGGGCTTAACCTGCCACAGGTTCTTTGTTCAAGAGTGGGGTGGAGCAAAAGTCTGCAGTGCTGTTTGTTGGAAAGAATAATACCTAAGAAAGAGGTGCAGTACAAACACTTTTCCATTCTCTGTTTATTCCACTTGCTTCTGTTGGTATTTCAACCCCTCTGATATTCCCTCTGTGGCTGTAAACTTGACTGCTGGAGACAAATCCTCCTCTCTGTTATAACAGAAGACAGGGCTGAGAGGCTGTAACAGAAATGTGCTCAACAGCAGAATTGTCACAAAACAGCTTGGTTATAAAACTGACTCCTATGAAGTCCACCCAATGAGAAGTGCAGGAATTCGCCTTTGATGGGGTTAGAGCTGCAAGGGTAGAATTTACATGAGCCATGATGAGGGTGCTCTGAAATCTGTCTCGTAACACCTTAAACCCAAGAGGACTTGTTAATCCCAAGTAAAACAGGGTTTAAGTAAGTTTAGTCCCTGTCTGACAAGCTGGTTATGTGTAGGGTAACTCCCTACACCTTGGCTCAGCAGGGCATGCTCTCACCTGCTGGCAGCTTCCTGCAGGTGCAGTAGCTGCACAGGCTTGTCCAGAAAGGAGCGTGGCTTACAGCTCCTCCTCAGAGCTGGTTACTGAGCTGCAAAGCCTGTTCAACTTGGTCAGTCTCATACCAGTTACAAGCTGTTGCATCAGTTACTCTACTAGAAACTGTTTGTGCAGGAAGTTGCCTATAGCTACCCCCCTCTGTATGGGGCAATTTTTAACTGCTTCAGCAGCTCATCTTTTCCGAATTAAAGAATGTAGCTTTTCACCCTCTGCCTTCCAGGAAGGTTTTTTGAAGGGGTCATTTTTAGCACATGCGACAAGTTCACTTACACTTTGCTACTGCTTTTATTCAGCCAGTAAACCACACAGTGCAAAATCCTCCAATCAGTTGGACAAATCTTAAATATACGGGGTTCCATCGTAGGGGTAGTAAAATTCTAACAGCTCTACTTCCCTCAACTCTGCTGAGTCTAGCATTTTCTTTTCCACTTTAGAACACAATACAGAAGATAGAGAAACTCACAATTTGCAAACTTAAATCTTACAAAAACTTGTTTTTTATTTATACTGAGTAAACATAAGGAAAAATCCCCAAACTTAGATCTTTATCGCTTCATTTCTGCTATACACCAATGCATTCAGACTTCTTTGGTCCCCACTTCAGTAGAGTTTTAAGTGACCAGAAACTTGATCTATTACATCAGCTGGTCCGGGCCCAATCCCAAGGACTGTCTGGGAGCCAGGCGCTATCTGAGTACGACCTGCGTCTTGTATTAAGCTCACAGTCAGGCCGAGCTGTTTAGCATCAGCCAGGAGTTGGTGCAGAGTCTCTTCATCAGGAGCTTTGAGGACCACTTTAGGTTGGCCGCAGTACTCCCACTGTTTCAGGAGCTCAGGATTTCTTCTTTGAACTTGCTTGTAGGCAGAAACAGCAGCATGGGAACACTGTGCTGCTACTTTACCCTTTCCCATCTTCAAATCATTGCGGACGACCAGCACCAGCTTGAACTCCCCAGACTCTCCCATGCTGTCAGCTTCGCTCCCCAGACAGTTTGCAGGCGCAGTCACTCCGGCTTTGGGCTGCCTTAGGAGCCTCCCGCGAATGCCCCAGCCCAGGCACACGCCGCAGGCGACTCCAGCGATGACACTGAGCAAGCTGGGGCTGGAAAGAGAATCCATGGCGGGGTCTGGAGACTGGCTGGGGGAGGGGGGGAAAGCCACCGTTGACTCGAGCGTTTTCCAGCCTGTGAGGGGGCACCTGGTTAACTGGAGACAACGTTTGTTAACAAGAGTTATCCCTTCTCCCCGCACTGGGGAAGGGTGTTCAGAGACACCTCACCCTGGAAAAAAAACCCCAGCCACAAACGTGTCACCTGGGACGGCGCACAACCCACCAGCGACCGGCTTCAACTCGGGAAGAAGGAAAAAAAAACGGCAAATTGGGACAGTCACACCCAAAACCGCTGAGGGAAGCAGCGGGTTC